ATTGAGATTGTTTAATAATTTATTTTTGAGGGTCAATTGTGTAAATATACACAGTATGCTAAAATTTCTCTTTATTGTTTTTAAAAACAAATACAAATTGACCTACATTATTACATAGGTTTGAAATAACGGTTTGTTACAGTAATCAAGCTATAGCTACAAACGAACGAGAGAGATTTAATTTATTGAAATTTTTTGTGATACACTTTGTGTATTTTCTGTATTTTCTGCATTTTACTATGGACCAGGCCTATGGAATCACCAACATAATTCGGCCAATGATAGCAAACATAGTCCACAATTTTCATAGACCGAAGGAATTATTGTAGGAAAGACTACTCCTCAGTGTTAATCTTTGCTACAAAGACTCTAGATCCGCTTCTCAAACATCAGACGAGAGCTCGTTAAGCTTCGGTTGAGAGAAAATATTTGAGAGCGAAGTCACAGACGTGGTTTGAACAATCCAGATGAAGAGTTTCAGATAAAGAGAAGAAAGTTGGAGTTTTGGCACAAGAACAAATTCGAAGTACAAGAGAGTGAAGCTCATTACTTTACTTCTGCATTCAATATATATTATCCTTTGGGCATTTAGTTCTCAAGAAGTATTCCTAGACTCCAAACATTGATATGGCCTATTAACTTGCAGACTAAATTTGTCATCATGGGCCAGCTTTTTATGGAAATGTGATGAAGCCTTGAGACCAATTCCAAAAACAAATTAAGTCAAAACACTTGCTATTAGTGGATATCTCAGTCTGATTGTAACTCCTTGTATAAAATGTATGTTTAAAATTATCAATAAAATTTGTCAAGTTCATTTGTGGATATATCACTAAAAGAAAAGTTATTGTTAGTTAGCGGTTTTTTAATGTTTTACTGACAGCCTGAATTTCGATCGCTAAACCATATATTAACTTATCACCATATGATGTTCGTCACTCACTGGTCACTAAATCATAGAATTAAAATATATATATTTAATATAATTAATATTATTAATGACTAACAATAACGGGTACTATAAAAAATGATTAATGACACAAAATAAAGGACACTAAATTTGAGACTTAGTGTAAATGGTAGTGGGCATTAAGTACTTCTCCTTTTAACTTCCGTAAAGGTCACATAAAAAATGGAGACGAAGGGACTACTCCATGGGTAAGGTGGGAGTCATCACTTCAGTCCTTTTGATAACATTTCAAACAGAAAAGGACTACTCCATGGCTAAGGTGGGAGTCATCACTTCAGACAGGAAATAGATCAATGACTAGATAACAATTATAGCAGATGGGGTAGAATACAAAGTTGGTGTGGTGGAATACACCAATGACTGCTCCCCGTTCAAGCCTATTCCCTTTGATAAAGTAGAGGATTCGGAAGACGAGCAAGAAACAGAGGGTGTATCAGAGACTTGGATGGAAGATGATGAAAAGGAAGAGGGTGAAATCCGACCAAAAGATGAGTATCAAGCATTTGGAGATATACTGGAACAGGTTGGGGGTGAAACTCGAATTGAAGACAAGTCTCAGGCACAACGAGTGATTCCGGTGGATTGTGAAACTGGTGACGGCCAAACTGCTCCGATTTATCCGCTGATGGCCGTCGGTGACCCGACTGATGATGGGGTTGCCGTTGACCTTCCGGTAGTGGAACAGACGAGTGAACCGTTAGGAGGGAAAATCGAGACAAATATTAATGTGGAGAATCTTAGTCCCAAAGCTGTGGAGGCGGTTGATATCCCCCAATTATTCCAATTTAATACCCCTAGCCACGTGGTTAAGAATAAGGAACACGTCAGACATAACCTGATGTCATCCAACAATTATAATATAGACAATAGGCCTTTCCAAAATTTGGTGCCGCTTGGGTGATTTTGGCCCATTCCCTATCAATCCAAACACTGCATTCCGTTTTAAATCCCCACAAGCCCAAATCCACAGACCTATTTCCGAAGATGACTTGAATAATAGTGGGCCTAGCACTAAGAAAAGAAAAAGGGCGAAATCGGGGTCCAGATTTAATAAAACCAGAACACAATAGAAAACTTGTCCAACCTTTCTTTCATCTCTTGCTGTGTCTCATTCATCCCCATCCCCAAACCCAGAACAACCTATCCTACCCATACCTTTCCCGGTGTTGGACAACCTGGACCAATCCGCCCTTCTAATTGTGAGTACTGATGCAATATTTTCCAGTGAAATTCGTCAAACTGTGGACATCGGATGTGCTATTGGCATCCAAATCGACCTGCAAGATCCTTCCCTTGCTGAGGTCGTTGGTGAAATTGGTGAGATCGTTGATACCCAATGAATTGTTTATCCCTAAACGTGAGAGGCGTCGGAGGAGGTCAAGATTGATTGGGTTCACAGGTTAAACATCTCCATAAGGATAATTTCATCAGAATACAAGAAACACAATTGTTAGAATTCGAAAAAATTGAAGTTCAGGGCTGCTGGGGAAACCAAGATTATGACTTTGATGGGTAAACTCAACTGGACGCTCAAGTGGTCTAATTTTGATATGGAACAGTAGCTGCTTCAAGAGGAAAGAGGTAATTAAAGCTAGACATTATCTTATCACTATTGCAGAATGGATTGGCATTGATGGGGATATGATACTCGCAAATATCTATGGGCCCCACTCTATTAGCGATCAAAAACAGTTATGGCGAAATTTGCTTGAAATCAACACTCCAATCCAGGAAAGTGGGTATTCTTCGGTGATTTCAATGTTGTTAGATGACTGGAAGAGCGAGTAAACTCTGCATTCTGTCCAGCTAGTGCATCGGCGTTCAACTCTTTTATTCAAGATGCAGAATTACAAGATTTCAACATGGGCGGCGAGAAATACACATACATGACCAGGGTAGATGCTAATCTGAGCAAACTTGATCAATTTCTTGCTTCTGCTAATTTCCTGGAGGCCTTTCCGTCACTCGTAGTCACTTCCCACCAACGTGATCTCTCTGACCATTGTCCGATCACTATGATCTCGTGTGCATCTGATTACGGGCCCCCACCTTTCAAACTCTTCAATTCCTGGATGCTAAAGGATGGTTTTGAAACTACTGTCAAAGATGCTTGGATTAGTTTTGTTGGTTTCGGCGAACCAGACGCGTATCTTGGTGCGAAGTTGAAATATCTTAAGGAGGAGATTAAGAAGTGGAAAAAGAACATAGAAAAGACAGAGAAGCATGAGATCATGGAAATAAAGTCCAGTTTAGCTGAAATCGAGAAGTTGGCGGAATCTAGAAACCTCACGACAGATGAACTGGAAACTCGGAGTTTATGCATCCAAAAAATCATGGAACTTTAAAAAATTGCAGTGCTAGATTTAAAACAAAAGTCTAGAGTAAAATGGGCAGTGGAGGAGGACGAAAACACCAAATTTTTCCACGGCTATATTAATAGCAATAACATGAGGAATAAGATAAACAGATTTATGATTAATGGGGTATGGGTTTCATCCGCGGAGGAAGTCAAGAAGGAAGCCATAAATTTTTTTAAAAATAAGTTCATAGAAACTCGAACATCTAGACCCAAACTTGTTAGCCCATAAATCAAATCCATATCCATGATGGAGGCAATCAAATTAGAAGCACCTTTCACTATGGAAGAAATCAAACAGGCGGTCTGGGCTTGTGGGAGCGATAAGGCCCCGGGGCCCGATGGTTATACTTTCAAATTTATCAAAGCCTATTGGGACATTTTCAAAGATGATATCTTCAGTTACGTCCTCCACTTTGATAAAGTTGGTACTATTGCTCGGGGGTGCAACTCGTCTTTTATCACCCTTGCACCTAAAGTCAAAGATCCCTCATCCCTTTCAGATTATCGCCCCATCAGTCTGATTGGTTGTATGTACAAGATCATTGAAAAGACATTAGCAACACGGCTCAAATCGGTGATTGGTAGAGTAATTGGAAGTACAATCTGCTTATGTGGAAGGCCGAAACATCCTGGATAGACCATTAGTAATTAACGAATTGTACTCATGGGCGAAGAAAGTGAAAAAAAATACTACTATTCAAGGTGGACTTCGATAAAGCGTTTGACTCGCTTAATTTGGGAGTATCTCGACTCCATTCTTGTGCAGATGGGGTTTGGTACTAAGTGGCGGCAATGGATCCACGATTGTTTACACTCGTCTTATGCCTCAGTGGTCCTCAATGGTTCACCAACAGACGAATTTTATATTTCTAAAGGCGTTCGTCAGGGAGATCCTCTCTCTCCTTCCCATTTATCATTGCGATAGAGGGCTTCAACGCCGCAATGGATGCAGCTAGAGACAAGGGGATTTCCGCAGGTGTCCAACTACCCAATGGTGGGCCGGATCTCACACACTTGTTCTACGCTGATGATGCATTATTTGTGGGGAAGTGGTCCAGAAACAACTTAAAAAACCTTGCGAGAATTTTAAAATGTTTTCATGTAGCATCTGGACTCAACGTCAATTTTAGCAAATCAAGGCTATTTGGTATTGGAGCGTATGATAATAAAACCTCGAATTGGGCTAGCATTTTAGGTTGTGCTCCAGGCTGTTTTCCTTTCACATATTTGGGGGTCCCCATAGGTGCTAATATGAATCTTACCAAACACTGGAAACCGATCATTGATAAGTTCAAATCGAAGTTGTCGTCATGGAAATCCAAGTCCCTCTTATTCGGTGGACGCCTAACTTTACTCAAATCGGTACTTGGTAACCTCCCTACATACTACTTTTCCTTATTTGTTGCCCCTGTGACAGTAACAGAAACACTAGAAAAAATAAGGAGACGATTCTTATGGGGCGGTGATGAAGGAAAAAAAAGGATTCATTGGGTATCTTGGGACAAAGTGGTGGCTTCGAAATCTGTGGGTGGTCTCGGGTTCGGCTCAATACAAGCGCTAAACATTGGTTTAATAGTTAATTGGTGGTGGCGATTAAAGACGGAGAAAGGATCATTATGGGGGCGGGTCGTAAAAGGTTTACACTCCCTGGATAACAAGCCACATGATTATATGTCTAACAGAAACATCACAGGGGTGTGGCACAACATTGCCTCAATTCGGAATGACGTCAAGAAACATGGGCTTGACATTGGCGATATCTTTCAACTTCAGGTGCAATCAGGTGACAACTCCCAGTTCTGGTACGATAATTGGGTAGGTTCGGGAATACTGAAAGACAAATATCCCTCTCTATTTGAACTTGAATCGAGGAAGCGATGTACTGTAGCTGATAGATTCTATGATGGATCATTTGAAGAACATTGGAACTCTTGTCCTAGTCATTTGGGCTTGGCAGCAGACATGGATAGTCTCAAAATGGATTTGTCCAATGTGGAACTGGCTTATGGCGATGACAAATGGTTATGTAAATTAAACAATAATGGAGAATACACGGTATGTGCATTAAGACGGAAGATTGATATGTATGCAGGCCCACAGCCCCCATTGCCTACCATCACTTGGTCTAAAGAAGTACCTTTAAAAGTAAATTGTTTCGTATGGAGGGCGTTACAGAATAAAATCCCAGCATCTGAGGCGCTGAGATTCCGGGGAGTTGATATTGCATCGACTGTATGTGGTGCGTGCATTAACTAGTCTGAAGATGCTGGCCATATTCTTATCCGATGTCCATATGCTCGTGCGGTAACGGACAGGATATACCAATGGTGTGATATACCGAATTATGAGTATAACAGTTTGGGGGATATGCTTCACTTCATCACCAACATTGGTGGAAGCTTGAGACGGAGGCACACGTTAATAGTTATCTCATATGGTCTTACTTGGGCCTGTGGAAATATCGCAATGATCGCATCTTCAACCAAAAATTTCTTTGTCCAAACAAAGGTGCAGAACTAGTTAAATCTTTGGTTTATTTTTGGATCAAAAGCAGGGGTTCTGGTGGGTTCTGTAGTCGCGGAGATTGGTTATCTTCTCCTTTTCAATGTTTATGATTCTCCCTGTTTATTTTCAAAAAATCTATAACCATAAACTCTTTGTATGGTTTTTAGGCTCCCTTCTAGTTGCTTGCTACTTGTGGTCCTCTTCTATAATATTCATCGTTCAAAAAAAAAATCTGATATCCTTACACAGCAAACCCACTATACCTTTGGGGATGCTGTTCACTAGTGAAGAACCAAATGAACAACATATATATATATATATATATATATATATATATATATATATATATATATATATATATATATATATATAGTGAGAGAGAGAGAGGCTTTGGTGATCTTATGTGGTAGCCACTAATCCACAACACACACACTATGCTTTGAGGTGGTGTTTACTAGTGGAAATCCCTTCCACATAGGATCCACATAGGATGCCTACGCGTGATGAAGCCTCCATACCGTATGACCTAATTTATCTACACATGCGAATGTATGGAAATATACCTACACAAAATTTTATATGTGTGAGGAAATGTCAATAATATATTTTTTTTCACAGTTCCAACAATTTATAAATGTTGATAATGCCTTTTAGTCGTAGGTAAAATTTATCTCCAAATTTTTCCATGGACTACAATGTGATTATCCATAAGATATATTTAATTTTATTTATGAATATATGTGTGGAAATTTTTAAAAATTTATCTAAACACAAACATATATAAACGCACACCATGATCAAATTAGAAGAAAATTTTTGGTAGGAATGTAAGAAATTATTTGATTTACATATTTTTTTAACGAACAAGAAAATGATTCATTAAACGGTTCAAAAGTAAGATAATTCATGAGAAAAAATTCTCAAAAACACACCTTCACGATTCATTATTACGTAAATCAAGAAAAAATTTAATTTTTTGACATTTTTAGTGAATATCAACAAAATCATCATAAAAATGAATCATCAAGATGTTATCTTGGGAATTATTTTTGAATCATGTTATTCTTTTTATTCATCTACTGATTCATTTGTTTTGTTCGATAAAAAAAAAACTTCATACCTTTCTACAAAAAAAAAATCTTACCGAATCTAATTATTCATTTTATTTGTTTGCTAAAAAATGTATATAAAAAATTTCTTATCTTTCTACCAAAATTTTCCTTCTTATTCGATCTTGGTTATATATATATATATATATATATATATATATATATATATATATATATATATATATATATATATATATATATATATATATATATATATATATATAGGTGGGTTGAATTGAGAAAATAAAAAAGGTTTAGAATAGGGGAACCATCTCAGCCAATCATTTATCTAACATGTAAAACTTAAAAAACGTGTGTATCATTTTTTTATTAAGGGTATATTTGTAAATTAGCCACTTTTTTGATTTACTTGTTTGTTCTTCGTCTTAATTTTTCGATTCGTTGAGATCTTTATCTCGTTTGAATTAGATATAGAGGGATTCATTATCAAGATTTTTTTTAATAATTCGTTAGCAATTACATGTATTTTTTGCATTTTTTTTCAAGTTTCGCACCTGTATTGTAGTTTTATACTTCATATTCAGTTTCCGATTTCATCATATCCTTATATCATTTGAATCGGATATATCATATTTCATTTTCAAGATTCTTTCTTCATATAATTCGTTAGGGACTACACATATTCTTTCAATTTATCGTGAAGTTCACATCTATATTGCAGTTGTTTCATCGAATTTTTGTTCTGTAGTTTGAGATCTTTATTTCAATTTTATCATCTAATCGGAGCTGATTTAATTTTCAATCAGATCGTTTTTACGCTTTGAAGTTAGAGAGATTGCTTAATTTATCAGGTTTTCATATGATCTTTATTGCAATTGGATCATCTGATCCGAGCTAATTTAATCTTCTTTCAGATCATTTGTACGCTCTGAGGTGATATATATATTCGAAATTAATCAGTTTTTCATATTTACGACTTTTTTGTGTTTTTTGTTTTAATTTTGTTGTCGTTCAGTTTCTACTTTATTTTATCATGATTTTCATCGATATTAAGATTGTTTTTGTTGTTTCGTACATATCAATTGGTTTATTATGTCAAATTCGAGTGTTATTGATGGTGATTTGTATTCTTCGATGTGTGAGAGTGAAGAAGAAGATGTTGAAAACTCATTTTTTGAAGGTATCACTTATTGAATTATTATGTTGTTTTTAATTTTGTTGATGATCATGTATTTACATATGAATCTGTGAATCTGAATAAATTATTATCTTATCAATATGAATATATGTTTGATAATTGTAATTTCGAATTTATTATTATTTTCGTTTTATTCATATATGAATAAGTATTGTTTTTATTTTATATTTTTTGAATCATATGGATTTTATGTATTCATATATGAATGTTTTATTAATCCATTAATAAACATGTTTTTTGTTTTATTCATAGATGATTTTTTATTCATGGATTACTAGATTGATTTAGATTTGTAGTTTTTTATCAGGTGAATCTTCGAGTTCAGTAGATGATGCACAATATTGTAGTAGTGTAATTGGAGAACATGTCTATAAGCCAGATGTATCTGTTCAATTTATTCCATTTAAAGTTTTAATCTTCAAATCATTAGAGTTGTCCATCAAAATGTATTATGAGTATGCTGAAATTGGTGGTTTTGATGTGAGACTAAGCACACAGTCAAGGTTTGATAACAAGATTATCAAGAAGAAACATGTTATATGTAATCGTGGTGGCAAATAGATAAAGAAATCTTGTGACACATTGGGTACAAGTGGTGTTAGGAGGAAACGAAATTCAATTTAAGAGTTATTGGTTGTCAAGCAAAAATTATATTTGAATATGTGTATGGAACTCCATATTATAAAGTTTTTCAGTATGATGAACTTCACAACCATCTACTTGAGAAGAGAAGTGATTTAAAAAAAGTGAGGAGATGTCATATTCAGAAAAAGAGTTCATAGTGCGTGCTTCCACATCAAAAATAGGCCCAAGTATGGCTCATAAGTTGAGGGCAAGTCTGAGAGGTGGGCATGAGTTTGTTAAGCCCAAAGTAGTTGACTATAAAAATTTAAGGAGATATATCAACAGGGTTATAGGTTATAAAGATGCCAAAATGATAGTAAAAACAATGAATGACCATCGAGCTCACTATCCAAATTACTCATTTGAGTTTAATTGTCAAGATGATGTTTTGGACTCTATGTTTTCGGCTGATAAAATGGTGAAGACATATTATGGTGAATTTGGTGATGTTATCTCGTTTGATGCGACTTTTCGAACAAAGAAGTAAGTTATTCTATATACTTTTTTTATAGCTTATTCATATACGAATATTTTAAATTTATGTTTAATGTTCAGTTTTTAATACTGAAATTATTTTAATAATATACTGTAACTTTATTCATACATGGATTTTTTTATATTCACATATGAATACATCAAAAATTGACTTTAATGAACACTTATTTTTTGTGTTGTAGGTATCAAATGGTTTTCTATTATATTTACTGCTATTGACCATCGTAAAAAATCAGTTATTGTTGGAGTGGGGTTGCTAAGCAATGAAAGCATTGAGTCCTACTCTTGGTTGCTTAAAGCGTTTTTTAAAAATCAAGGGAAAGAACCAACACTTGTTTTAACCGATCAAGACGTTGGAATAAAAACAAGCTATTGAGAATGTGTTTCATAATTCAAAACACTGACTATGTATGTGGCATATAATGAAGAAGTTGAAAAACAAGGTATTATTTTAATATATTTCAAATATGTTACATAGTATTAGTTATTCATAGATGAATATAGTAATTTTTTCAAATTTTAGTATATTCATTTATGAATATTTATTATTATTGTACTTATTTATATTTACTCATTTATGAATAAATATAGAAGTTTATTTTATTTTTGATTTAATACAAATATGAGATGATTTATTTATGAACACAAACTTTAGAAAAAGATTCTCGAAGCTTGTTTGGGACATGAATATGAAACCTAATGTCTTTTAGGTGAAGTGGGGTTTGCTTATGAAGGAATTCAATCTTGAAGACACAAGATGGTTTAAAGACATGTTTACAAAACGTGATTCCTAGATACCTGGATATTTTAACGACATTCCAATTTGTGGGTTGATGAAGACTACGTTGAGGTCAGAGAGTATGAATTCATTCTTTAATACCTACTCAAAAAGTGGTAATTTACTTTTGAGTTTCATGATGAATTACGATACTGCTAATCAAAAGCAAAGGAATACTCAACGAGAGCTTGATAAGGCATCAAAGAAAACATCATATAAAATGGAACCACCTCTAGAAATAGAATTACAAGCATCAAAATTTTATACAAGTACCTTATTTTTTGAGGTGCAAAAGGAAATATATAAAGAAAGTTTTTTCTATACATACTCCTATGTTGGTATTGAAGATGGGTGGGAAGTTTACATTGTGCAACACAACAACAGTAAAAGCGAATTTAAAAATGAATTTAAGGTAATTTAATAGTTTTTTATGTATAAAGTAATGTTTATATATGAATATGAGAATATTCATAAATGAATATTCTGATCATTTTAAAATTAGAACATGTTAATATATGAATTTAATTCCTTATATGAATATTTACAATGTTATTATTCATATATGAATACTTATATATGATTATTC